CTTTCAGCCTTTCCTGTCTTTCTCCTTATGTTCATCCAAATGGGCAGCCGAAAGAAAGCAACCAAAATCGGCGCACGACAGTGCATGGTTAATGCTTGTAGAGACTGAACTGAGAACCATACCGACATTTTGTTATTGAAATCAGTCTGTTTGTTTAACCTTTAGCTTATTATTATAAGTGCTTTACGCTACTATCTTTTGCACTTCTATGATCCAATTTTGGTTGCTGTCTTCCTGTTACTCACTTAGTTGACGAATAAAGAAAAGAGTTGGGTTACTAGAGAAGCTCATTGATACTATGCCGTACACACCCTCGTGTTTCCGCAGCATTTTGCCACATACGCCTATCTCTCTTGGGTTCCTCAGACGATCGTTCTAACAGTAGTTCCTCGATGGAAGTTCCGCCGATATTCTCGCTTAATATCGTTTGCCTAAATTCAATATTTCTTGTCCCATTTTCCCATCAGTCTCTGAATCATGTGGTGGGTCCCGCCGGACCCATCATAGACGGCCGGATGTCGTGATACCAAAATGTTCTAAAGTTGTCGAACACTAGGCTAGCCATCACGTATGGTTGAAAGTCATCCAAGATCTGTCCACGAATCGAGTTATGGGTCTTCGGGCGGTAAGGCCTATCGGTCGTCTAAATATTGCCTTCTCGATGCAAATGACGTCGTCAGTAAAAGCAAACCCGTAATGAACTAACGCTTCACGTGGCGTTTGAAAGAACGCACAACCGAATGTTGGATATACGGTTGTATTGTGAGTAATAACTTACTCGTAAATGCGACCACTGACAAATACAGTAATAGGTGAATTAGTTACCATACTGGACATGGAATTGCAGAATCTTATTCTTGAGTGGGCGAAGGGCAGGAGCACGCAAGAGTGAGAATAAGGACCTGGATTAAGATGTTTCCACTCCGAACGGCAAAGCAAATCAATGCAAGGTTCGCTGAGTGTGCGCCGTCTTGATCATGAACGTGCATGCGTTTTGTGACTCAGGCCAACTGTTTTGGCTTCTGATTATCATTTTGATGATTACCCCCATGATTGTTTCGATACGGTCCGGTTAGAAACCGTCAACCGCCTTTCCCTAGCCCATCAACCATTCGTATACGGCCAAACGTCTCAAATAGCGTCTGCGGAAGATGCCGTATCTCTGTCTACGTGGTGATCTTCCTACCAAAGTGAGACGACAAAAAGGCAACACCTGACAGTTCACCTAGGAAAAATGGTTAAAACCCTGAACCCAAACCAACCTATGGGAGGTGTAGGAAGCACCTCCCCGTCTGACGGTGGTCACTGGTTTGATTTAGCACCTTGGACATTTGACCCTATCCAAGGGATTACGATTCCATAAGTTGAGATCATACAACCGCTAATCATGCACTTTCGTGCGCCGGTTTTCATCGTTATCTTTTGGCTACCCGTTTGGATTAAACAGTAGGGGAGACAGGAAAGTTGAATGCAGAGTAGGAGAGAAAATAAAGAATTTCAGTGGACTAAGATTGTAAAGAAATTTTGAAGATGCACAAACAACTCTTAATCATATCAGTGAGTTACCGGGTACGATCATCCCGAGGTCTTCAGTCAGAAAGCCTAACGGTGCATATGAAACCGAGTTGCCTGTTTAGGGTTTTCAGACCCTAATGCCAAGTCTTATTCTGACCACCCTTGACATCACGGGCCGTAGCAATAGATTTGGTGACATGCGTAACACATGCTCCAACCATTGCAGTTTATGGAGGTCGACCACTTGTTCCATTGGACGATCGCGGTTACCTAAAACTCTGCGCCTGACCTCAGCACTGCTTGTCCGGTTTACCCACCACATTCGTGCAATGCTGCGTAGAGAGCAGTGTTCAAACACCGACAGTCTGTCTTTATCCTTTTTCCTTAATGGCCAAATTTCAAATTGATACACAGTCTGCAATCCAAAAAGCTTACAATCTAGTAACAAAATGCGGTTCTTACAGTTAGTTTAGATGCGCTGACGGAAATGTGCGACGCCTAGTTCATCGTGGTCATTAATCGCTAGAAGTTCTTTTGACGGGAGTAGGACAATCTTGGACTACTATAAATTTCCTGTTTCTCTACTCTTCGCAGTTGTCATCCAAGCGATCTCACAAACTTATCAACGAATTCCGAAAATCTTGCTACTTCGCTTTTTGAACGTCACGGAACAAGAACTTCGACCACTGATGAAAACACACGGTTGGACTGAATGCCCACCTGATCCAAAAGATACCACTCGTTCCGGACCGATGATTTTGGTTAACAAACACGAAGAACATGTGAAATCAGTCAAGATTCAAGAACGAGTCACCTTCGACTCGATAACCTCAATGTCTGGAGCGTTCCGCCCCTCCAAGGGAGACTTCTTCATCAAAACGGGTTGATTGATGTCTTCGAATGCACCAATGCACGTGAATGCCTACACGCGTTTTATCTAAAAATAATTGTTTTTCACGGAATTTTTGTTCGTTTTCCGATTGGTTCTATTCACAAACGCATCTGTCTTTGACAGAAGAAAACACAAAGTGGCGGAAATGTTGATACGAAGTTAAATAAATGGGACCAGGGAGGGGCGGATAACAGCCAATCGGGAACCACAAACACAAGGCATATGCCGGAAAAAGCGTGTGCAGTTCAATGTCGCCGGCGAGCTTCACTGATTGCTGCCCCCCTCCCTGCGAGGGATTCGATGCTGCTAACCTAGTCTGAAGAAAGGACTGGTTCCATAATCAAATTTGTAAGAAAGATAAATAGGAAAGGGGACAGAGGGCAACCCTTTAGTGAACTCGGGCGAAAAAATGCCGTTAGCTGAAACTCGGCTTTGACTATTACTATGTGAGGAGTGGAATATTGAAATAAACCTCTCGGGGACACCCTGCTGAGACAAGCATTGCTAGAGTATAGAGCGGTCGATTGAGTCGAAAGCCGCTTTCAGATGAAGGTAGATATGAATGGTGGGTCTAGGAAAAGAATATCTGTATTTTTAAATATGGTGAAGGATAAAAATGTAGTCCATACCATCTAGACCAGGTATACAGCGATATTTAGTTACGCTAACGTATGGGTGAGCAGTTCAATTCAGGTCATCTTAACACTGGGACTAGTATTTTTCGCATCAAAGTAACATGCTAGCACGTTGAATATTTGTCTCGTTGTGGACAAATACACTACTACATTCATGCTTTAACATCTTTCAGTCTCCTAAATTTCTTGAACTGTTGGGTTGGGCGGAGTTTCGGTTTAAGCTTTTACAACCAATAACCTCGCAATTTCGTGAACCAGAGAAAACTAAAAATTCGTCAACAAATAGATAACGACAATGATAACANCCAATCACATTTCATGATATTCTGAGCGCATGAGCACCAATAAACTGCCTACTTGGATGCGTACAGCTTGAGTTTAAAGATGATAAGTAAGACTGCATCTCAAAGTTGGATGATGCTGACGATTTGAATACTCTCAACTACGGCAACAAATGAACCTAGAGTAAGATCTTCGTCTCGATTAGCCTGGCTCCGTCGGAAAATTGTTTCTTAAGCACAACCAAAGAAAAATCGTAANTTGACCACATAAACTTACCTCCCGCAGCACACTGAGACCATTGGAAAACTGCACATCTAAACACACTGCTTTCGTTGGTGAAATTAGGCTAGAGTGTTGAGGTAATACTTCGGGGACGGAAAGGTGACGGCTGTCGGTGTCGCTCAAACGAGCCAATTGGTCCGCAAACGTGCCTTGGACAGCAGCCAAGGCGGCTTGTGCCAAATGGGATGGCGAGCTGTGCCCTGTAACCGCGGAGAAAACCGAGCTGGGCGATCGGGAAGGCTTCATACCGATTGTGGAATGTATTTGGGACGCTGGAGGAACGGTATCTGAACTTGACGGCAGTCGCGGAGACGGGGATCGGTCGGTACAGGAATAACACATCGCAGATACAGGAACCACGGGTGAACTCCCCAACGAGCGGGTAGATGCGATCAACACATTAGGAATCACCGAGCTGGACAAACCTTGGGAGTGTTCTGCAAAGAAAACAATGCGGATTGGGGGATGAAGCAAACTAAACAGATTAACAACCAGTTTAAAAAACTGAAACCAGTGCTATGTGGGTCGGCAGTGCAGTATAGATGAGAGTGCAACACGGTAGTACGCCATTTACTTGTGAGGACATTGGTTACGCAAGGTGAGTGCGTGCGACTTTGTGTGCAGCGGGCGTAAGACGAAACGGCGTTTGTAGAGTACTACTTACCACCAAGCATTTTCAACAATCATGAGAAGAAATGGTCTAACAACACGACAGACAATGCAATAAATTCGATGCACGGAGACTCCTGGAAGATAAAACATGTGGAGGATTTGGATAGACCTAAACCGTGAGAATGTTTGTGACTAGAGTCGAGTAAGCGTGGCCTGATCATCCAGGCAGGTCGACGACCGCTTGGTACCGGCTGAACGAGCCGGTCGCGATGCTGATTGTTCGTGGGAGGATCTATATGTTCTCGACTGGGAGGGCCGGGAGCAGGTACCTTTGGCTGACGAACTAGTCGAATCCGAGGTTCGAATTGGCGTTGACCTGCCAGAATGACCAAGCACCTGGTCTTGGAGTGAGTGTAGTTGACCTTCTTTTGCATCACCTTTTGGTGGACTGTTTCGGATGCGCCTGTCCGAAATGGGTTCTCGAAGTTTGCGGGGTTGAGATGCGGAATGACGCAAACGAGTTTGTCTGTTCGTTGGAGATTTAGCACGATTTGCAATATTCGAACTGAAATCCACTCTTGGTGTTCTGCTTCTAACGCACGAACTTTGCACACGCGTGAGCTGAGGGGAACGGGTAGGTCTATCTGCTGATGTCATTATCTGGGTCAACGAGCGAAGTGAATCTCCTCCGGCAAAGGAACCTGATGTTTTACAATCCAAACGGACGCGTGGCTGAGTTGGGAGAATGGCAGTCAACGCTTTGGGTCGATTAGATCTGCCACTTGAACGTCCAGATTTGGCTTCGGAAGATGGAGACCCAGCTTCATCTCGATGGAGTCCAGTGATGGGAGGGACAGGTGAAAGTCTGAAGGTGAGGGAAAATGGGTGGACAAATAAAGTAAATGAATAGTGATTATCTAATACTANCGGGAATTGATGTACATAACAAACCGTGTTCCTGCTTAAGTTGCCCAATATACCCGTTGTAGGCTGAGTATCACACAATAGCGTCCTAACCAAATCATTACAAAGAGTTTCGGTTCTGCATGAAAGATATAAAGATAAGTAGGCATATCGTTCCGTGTGACTGAACGTTGGGTTTTGACAGTGGCAAGTATCTGTACAGCTGAAGCGTAATTTAGCACTTAACCTAAGAATTAATTTAACTGAGTGGCGTTTGCAGTTTCATAGAATTGAAGATTCCAATATTCCGACGGTATAGCAACAGGAACCTTCATGCTAATCGAAGAGTAACCCGTCTGGATTAGACTAATTTGAATTAATTTTTTTACATACATATGAGAAACAGTAATCATTGCTAACCCAAAGTTAACTCACATGTTAGGTATCGCAGCGGCCGTGGCCAAATCGGTCTGATCAAGTAACTGACTTAGCGGTTGTTGCACAGGAACGGGATGATCTGTGATCAACTGACTACGGTTGGTCGATCCAGAGGATATGGAGCACGAGGAGTTGCCCACATTAAGATTGGTGCCGTCCATTTGTGATGAGAGCTAGATTGTAACAGAAAAACAGAGAAAGATAAACAAAATAATGGGTCTAGGAGAAGTGAATGAACAACTCACATCAAAATACCCATCATTCCTTTAAACTATATCCGTGTAGACAGTTGGTATATCCCAATGACTGCTATCCGAGCGCCGATCAGAGTGACCTATTCGGTTAAGCCCGGGATCAAGCAGTGTGACAACACGCTAAAAGATTGAGGCTTAGAGATAAGAAGTGTCCAAACAACCGGCGTACCGTAATTTCATTTTCGGACAGTTACTCACGGCAAATACCAACACTCACTAGGTTTATTACTACGTATTCAAACAAGAATCAATCACAACGAGCTTCTATCAAAAAGCTATATAGTGAAACGAAAAATTATGGTATCATGGAGGAGCAACATGGGCCAGAAAATCAGTAACGATAACAAGGAAGGCAAAAATGGCAAGACCGCTAGGGAAAGGATGTGTGGTGTTGTGCGGAGTAATAGAGGATGAAGATTTGGCGAGGCAAGATATGAGCATCAACAGCCTAGTGAACTAAAGATAGCGAGCCTACCTCGTTCAAAAAAGAGGCGATTATTGACTGGTCACGTTGCACTGCGCTGTCCGTGATCTGTCCTGTGGCTGAAAGTTGCAAATAAACATGGGAGAAGTGCAATCAAAAGTTTAAAGGTCCACATCTGAAAAGCGTATATTTTGAGAAAATATTTACAACACGAGTGCTGATCAAACAGGGCACAAACAAACGAATTGGTCCCCGGGATAATAGGAGCGAATGAAGATGGGGGTGTTTCGCGGATGAATGACAAAGCAACACCAGAAAAAGAAGCACTTAATGGTTTATATAGAGCGAAAAATTATTTTCCGTGCAAAAAATACCGCTACAAAAACGTTTATGGGGGATTGAGTAAAACAGTTAAATTCAATGCATGAATTTTTCAAAACTAACTTATCTGACTAGTAGTTCTGAGAAATTTACGAGACGGAAAACAGACCTATAAGACAGGTGAGCAATCGCTGACAATAAAAACCTCTCGGATTTAACTATCCAATCATTTCTCGATTTGAAGCTCAGCTCATTTTGTCCTTATTTTACTAGACAGAAAGGAAAAAAGTATACGACAAAGAATAGATCAGTATCTTCATGACTGAACCCTAGTGAAGAACAATCCGTCACAAAAGTGCGCAAGTGTGCAAGGACCGTCTCCTCATACCGTATACCGGATGGAGCACACTAGAGAACAAAGTCGCTTTGAGAACAGTTCAGAACAACGCCAACCATATGGTTCTTTGATTTAAACATCTGAACAAAGTGAGCTATCTGCGAAAAATCTTACTATTAACCAGATTTGCCGATGCTATGATGCTATTTGGGTCATGGGCGGAACGACAGGCAAGCAAGGTGATCGATCGTTTTACTTGGTCTGTCCGAATCGAGCTGGTTAGCATTATGGTAACTTGGTTGACCAGAAGAAAAACACAGGATCAACAACTAAGCAAACAACAATAAATGCCTGATAAAACACCCAACACTTGCCCGTCCAACTTCCCATCCGACGATGACGGAACGAGGGACGCGTCGAAAGTACACTGGACGACTGATCATGAGAATGACGATCTCGAGTGGAGGACCGGTCGCGAATAGACACCGAGTGTGATAAAGATGGGGATTTGTTGACTAACTGAGAAGCGAGAAAACCATCAAGGGGCATCCGGTGACGATGAGAGATGGAGTGAGCTGGACTGGAATGACAACTATGCATCTCCGGCGTTTGACGGGATCCAGCCCCGTCCAAAAGAGATGCCGAAGATTGATTTGGAGCAAGGGCACCACGTCGCTCTTGAATCCCCGGTTCTTGAGAAGTGGTAGAAACAGGAACTGGTTTCAGGACGGTCGAGGTAAACCAGTTGGTTTTAACGGGAAACGGATAAATGGAATCACTTGATGTGGCAGAGAATGCATCGCCGGTAGGGGGCTCTAATTTGAGGGACAATTTGTAGTTGTTATCTTCAATGAATCGTTGCAACTCCTCGATGTAGCGTTGTGATTCCAAATATGCAGCGACCTTCTCATCTCGAGTGAATGCTGTAGGCATGTTGTGGGAGAAGACCGGAAGTAGAAAAGATGAACAAGTATATTATTGAAACTTTGGATCGAGTGAGACCCTACTGAGAATCGTGCAAACGCCAATAACGAACGGCATTCACTTATGTAAATTACGGTTTCATACGTAATGGGAGAACAAAACACGAAGAAAACCGCATCACGATGCATCAGATAATGCTGTCTGATGTGCTTAAAAATCAACGTGTGGTTAAAACCACAGTCACCATTTTACATCATGTGCACGTAACGCCAACAGTATATGGCTAGACTCAGTCTCTCGACAAAGTTCACAGTCTACAGTATAATCTGGCCCAAAAAATCGTCAGCCCTAGCATATATATCACTCGCGGTATTCGGCTTTCAGTTGTATCTTTTAGAGTTTATAAACCGTGGTATTTATCTTAGCTTAGACCTGAATCGGACAGTCGGAAACGAACAACTGAGTATTACGCTGGCACCAATTTCATCATACCAGCAAGGTAACGTAATGATTGTTGATACACTTTTCAAGTTGTCTAGAAATCGTAAACCACTATCGGTACACAGAGTGGTGAACAGACTTGTATAGGGCGATGAGGCACGTCAGTTTAATCATGTCAATTTGGAGAGGACTATCGATACCCGGCACCTTTTGTCACTGCTAAGCATTGCTTACATGGTATCGCCACCAGGTGTGGTTACGGTTCAGAGAGAGCGACAAATGAATCCTGGACGATGAGAAGACGGAATTCACGACACGCAGAACTGCAACATTGTGCTCCCCAGTAAAGGGCGGCATCACAAATGCTTCAGGTCTGCGAATACCAATCTCTAATACTTCCCTCTCGAGGAAAACAAAGCTGTCAACAACTTCCAACTGGCTACTGAGAATAGTAATCGCAGGGCGAGATTACTGTTCGTATAGAGGATGCATCTTGTACAGAAACTGTGTGAGTCAATCCAGATCGGCATTCTTCCCGAAATATCACTAGGTATAGGGAAACGATAGTATGCTAAATACAGAAAAGGATAGTAGCATTTGTCAGCAACCTTTGCTTTAGGTGTGAACATATTTGTCGAATGTTTGTTAGGAAAAATCACGTACCACGCTAGCAGTTGTAAAACTACTAGTGATGACCTAACGAGGTTGCCATAGTTTCTCATCTTGCATTCATCTCCAGTATACAGTTAAGGGATCAATGAAATAATCCTGTTGCTCCGTGCAAAACGTACCCACCAAAATAGCACATGACAACGAAGCTAATACCCTATTTAATGACAAGGTCCATTTGAACTCTATAATATTCTCACGATCATTAATTCCTAACGGTGAGCATGTGAAAGAATGTATGGGCGGAGAGAAAGCGATTTAGAGACCCAGTGAAATGAAAAATAACCAGTTAAATCTTGCGTAAAAAACATGCATAGATTAGACTAGTGAGACAGAATAACATTGAGGAGAAAAATTTGACATCAAGGGCGAACATGTGACGTTAGTGAGATGATCCCGCAAAGTTTGCTGGAAGGTGAATGAGCGAATTGAAAAATCAATAATAGAAAATAAGGAGTACACGGTTCTGCTGTCGTTCGCCCACTCGTCGGAGTTTTGTGTGACGAACCATTCTTACTAAAACATGAAAAATATCAATTCCAACCACTTCCAGGTTCCAGTACGTACTCGGATTTGAGTATTCATTCCTTTCATTATACTCAGTGTTGTGGAGCAGTTTACGTTGATCAGCTTCTTTAAAAAATATTTTACTAGGTTTTAACTCGACGGAAGGTTACAAACAATGAAACAATGTAACACAGAGCGATTGGAATCAACTAATGCATCGGGAATGAAGTATTACTATATTGTAGGCAACAAAGAAGAAGAGGCTCCCGGTATAGCGGACATCCATAAATCGTCCCTACAGACCGCCCTCATGATGATAGGAAACATCACACTTGGTTCACAAGGAGGTTTCTGTGGTCGGACCATGCTTTGTGCATGTTGGTCAACTGAGGATAGATGACACCCAGTTAGAAAGGGGCGAAAACTAACATGTGAGTGCTCTGGATTAATTCAGTAATTATTTACTGCAGTCTACGAAAGAGACCAATAAGCGTGTGATTGCTTAATCCCACAGGCAAGGGACAGGGGCGCTTCTTGGTGTATAAAGAAACAGTCCCATAGAAAAGATTGTTGTTGTATTTAAGGGGCAAAAAACTTACGATAAGTTGACTGTTGGAAGTTGGCAATAATGCGCAGTAAATTGTTCACTCGAGCTTGCTTGCTATGGTTTCCCCACGATCCACCATTCTCATGTAAACTTGCAGTAGCCGCAGCAACATCCATGTATGTCAAATCGGTTAGATAAATGCCTGTAACATAGGGGAGCATTCATGAGGACGAAAATTGAAAAACAACAGAGTACAAGGTTTCTTACAAAGTGGCTAAAAATGAAAAAAAATAGTTACAAAGACAAAACTTTGAAGGAGGTAACTGGTATCGGTGGGAGAAGGAGAAGGCAGCACAGCTGCAAAGTACTAGGCCAGTAAAACTCCAATTAAGTGACATCCACCAAGATCGGGCGGCGGTGGCGGGGTTCGAACCTCGGACCATAGGGTACAAAGCACACCGGTGACCAAACCATTGGGCCACCACGACCAGTGACGGATGTCTTCGCACGATTGGATGAACCTAATAATGAAATGCTCGCGGTTCTTTCCGCTTGTCAGGAATGCGCATCAGGTAATCTTTTGTCACTTCATTCATATACTTGTATCCAGGAGGTGTATTTTTGTCACAATAACCTTGTTTGCAACACCAGGTGACCATTAGATAGACAGCTCTTTCAGAGCCAATACGATGAAGAATCGATGCTATGATTCGATGTTTCGTAGGTGGGTTAGATGCTACTAACCGCAAAAAAACATGACCTGATGGTCTTGGTAGAATGTCTGATAATAAGTAGTATGTGAATGACTGGACAAAATTATATAATATAAATATATATATAAATCCATCAAGACAAGACTACCCCTTGACGTGGTGTGATGGCTTGTCCAGCTCTCTGATCCAACGATCTACACAGGATGTTTTTAGTCAAGCCGCGGATCTAATCATGTCTGGAAGGTATGATGGTAGAGATCAAATAAATGCCAGTCTCTTGATCCTCCAAGTTAAGGGTTCGAACACAGTTAGCAACTCAGTCTGCAAACAAGGTGGAGGAGCAATCGATCCAATGGGCTTCCACTTCGCTTCACCCGCTGCCTTGTGGCTAGGTGCTCGTCAGAACTAAAGGCTTTGGACGAGAACCTTAATCGTTCTCCTGCTTAGTGGCTGGACACCCTGGCAGTACCCATCGATCAAACTCTAAAGCATACAAAAACTATAAGCAATTCCATGCTGCATCGGTTGTCGCGTAGGATAACCAGGACGGCGTTCCCGGTGCATCGAGAGAAGTGGGCTACTGCTCAGATATCCCAACCTTTGTTTGACTCTTTGTTTTTCGTACTCAGCCCTCTCCATTTGCCCCCCCCTCCGATCTGTAAAAGTTCCTCAAGCAACTTGGATGTCGCTCGCCAAACGTCGTTGCCAAAAATGAACCACGAAATGCATTACGGATTCCAAAGCCTCGTCAAGCACCGAATCTGGGGGCCTTCAACGTGAGGACTCTGATGTAAGTAGGTTAACAAGCTTGTCTGGCGCGTACAATGGAATCCTTAGGAATCGATATTTACAGTTTTTCAGAGACTGGGAGTTAGGATACTACTACCATAAGCCGCTTGAGCGCGCCAGACTTGTCCTCGAGGTACGTTCTTCGCACGTCAGGCGACGATGAAGCCCGTTCAGTAGGTCAGCGCGGGGTAGGTATTGTAGTCAGTCACAGGGCTAAGTCGTCTCTTACGCACTGCATCCCCGCCAACAGCTGTTTATATGCAGTGCGTCTCCAGGGTTTAATCAGCGTCCGGAAGGGAAGCAACACCAAAAGGTTTGATCATCGGTTCGGCATATGCACCTACCAACTGCAGTTCTGATACACAAACGGACGCTTTATACGATGAACTCACCGATCGCATTCCAATGAGTCAAAGCTCCGACATAGATGTAGTTGTAGGTGACTACAACGAGCAGGTTGGAAAACTGAGCGCATCGGAAGCTTCCCTAGGCGGTCATTGTGCTCTGCCCTGACAGCGAACAGATAATGGCGATTGACTTCTTCGGTTCTGCGCAGATCATTACCTGTTCCCATCCAGTACCAACTTCCGACGCAGCTCTTGACGGGCAGCCACGTAGGGCAACAGTACAACTGGTACGCTAACTCCAATTGAACATACAGCAAGAGGCTACCGTTGGCGTGATTCTGTGCGAAATTGCACGTCCCACCGGACAACCTGCGTTGAGTCTAACCACGCATTACTTTCGATGCAATTCACTGTCCGAACGACTAGCCGGCGAGGAAACCAGCAAACTCGTACAGCTCATCATCGACTATGTGTTCCAGCCGTATGTGCTGAGTCAGAGCTAGTGCGTGAGTCAAGCGCGCCTCAACGTGATGCTGTAGGTGAGCAGTGGGATCAGATTAGGCGAGCAATGCATTCCACAGCGTATGTTCATTGTGGTTTTGAACCTCATATCCGACGGAGACATTGGATACCTCAGGAGTCAGTAGCCCTGATGGAGAAAAACCGACAAGTCCTGATCTGCCAGGATCAAAACAGAGTTGGGTGATATCTACAACGTCAGCTCACGAAGAGCCTCAAGAAAGTCCATGAGAACTGGTGGGCAACAACAGCTGGTGAAATGGAAGTAGAAGCTGCATCAGGGAATACTCAAAGACTGTTCCGACTGATACGCAATACGGGAGGTCGGCGTACTCCAGTTAGTGAAACAGTCTGCGATAAAATGGGACAAGCTATTCACAAGAGGGATGAAAGAATTGATCACTGAGTGGAATACTTCAGCGAACAGTTCATCTGGCCTGGCGCTAACCAGGTTGCTTCGTCTGCAACTGAAGCGCCGTCGGTAGTGTCATGCGATCCTCCACCGGAAGCAGATGTTCGGTCATGCAATCAAGCTCTAAAGTGAGGAAAGGCAGCAGGACCAAATGAACTCCCTCCCACTCTTTCCAAGATGGGAGGTGATGACCTCATAAGCTGTATTACTACCCTACTGCGCAAAATTTGGACGCAAGAGCGCATTCCTTCATCTTGGGGCGACGACCAACGGTCGCAGTGTTCCTCAACCTGAATGCCCCAGAAGTACGCTAAATAGCTGATGTCACAATACTCACATACCTCTGGTCGAGTGAGGGTTTACAACGAACTAAGTAGGCCGTTTATCACCAGCAGCGGCATTCGTCAAGGTGCCCTCTTTCACCGTTCCTGTTCAATTTGGTAGTAGACGGAATACTGGAGAACGCAATAAGTGGTTTCAAAAATGTAGGTATTGAATGGGCAGGTGAAGAACGGTGCGATTTGAAGTACGTCCATGACATCGTCTGTCTGTTCCAATGTACGGAGGACGCGCAAAAAGCATTTGATAGACTAAAACGTGCAGTTGCCACATTCGGTATGTGCTTTGCACATTCAAAGTGCAAAGTGATTCTGCAGGACTGGGTTTCGCATACTCGTGCTCTGAAATAAGATGACCAGGAACTAGTTATAGTGGATAACTTTTCGTACTTAGGTAATAGCGTGACCAATGAGGGTAGCGCAGCAAAAAAGAGATAACCACCCGCAATTCCAAGACTCGAGCGGCATATGCACGACTGAAACACCTCTAGCGTGGACGAGACGTTTCACTGAAGTTAAAAGGTCATGTACATCAGGCCATCGATCGTTCAGTTCTTGTTTATGGTTCTGAGACTTTCAATTTGCGAGTAGACGAAATCCATCGACTAGAAGTTGTCGATTATCAGTGTTTACTTAGTTGAGCCCACTTGGGAAGGAGCAAGCGGGCTAGTACTCTGGATGTGTTAGGGGGTCGATTAGGGATGAACCGGCTAGCACACCGAATTCAGATTAGCAGATTCGCTGGCTTAGAGCACGTATTGCGTATGCCCAGCTGTCATCGACCAAACCGCGCTTTATTCGATGTAGCTAATCCGAGCAGGAAGAATCCGCTTAGTGGTCAACAGATGACGTGGAGACGACGCATGACGAAATGCACAGAGACATTAGGTAGAGTAAGTGTCTCTCGCCTTCCAGATTGGGGTCCGAAAGGCTCCACAACCGGTTGGTAGGAGACATTGACAGATGTGGCAGCGAACCGAGAGCAGTTTCAGATTTGAATCGTAATCCCTTGGATAGGGTCAAATGTCCAAGGTGCTAAATCAAACCAGTGACCAC